TATATGCTGTTGACTAAATTAACGAGGACAGAAAACATGTTTTATTTCAACTTTTAAAAGAACCACCACACTACAAATTAAAGCCACCAGGATTATAATCAGCTACATCAGTTGAAGCTCTAATTGAATTTGCTCTGTCTGTAGCTTTTCGTTGAATTCGATTCTCTCGTTGTTCGTTATTTTTTTTGAATTTGTTATTCTTTTTTTGTCTTTTGCCAAAAAATGTTCAAACAAAGCTTTACTAACACTTACACCACATTGGCTAAAGTATTCTATTAAAATTTTACTACCTGAGTTAAAATACATGGCTGCAAGAGCAGCACAACCTCGCACGGAACGATATCCGTGATGTTTGGATTTACTTAGTATACTCCTGTAAAACATGTAAAAGAAAATAGTAGAATATAATTATAAAGAAAATCAAGCAAAACTAATGTTTACGTTTACCAAACTATAGAATTCAATGATTCATTTGAATTTTGAGTTATACCACGTAAACAACGACGTAGCAATTCTTTAGATGTTAACTTGTCAATGAGAGGTTGTAGAATATCACGAAAAATAGGATCAAGAAAATTTCGATCATTTTTTTTTCTAATGTTTGTATTATTACGACTTGATAACATTTTTTGTTGGTGATAAAAGCACCAGGTGTTACTAGTTTTTGGACAGTACTGATGTTGTTCTTCTTTATTGCCATCTTTCGTTTTTAAATAGTGATAGAATGCAGCCCGAGTAAATTGCTGCATAATATCTAATGCTTCGTTAACTTCTTTACCTAAATAAATACATTAAAAAATTGTTAAATAGACTTTTTGCAAAAAGAGATATAAAACGTCTTTCCATAGTGGAAAAAAGAAATTTTAATGTTGTTATCTTTTATCTTACCAGCTGCTAGTGCGCTGGCCTGTCTTACAGCAAGGCCATAACCATTTGATAACTTCTTCATCATGTTGTTGGTCATTCTACCAGGACCACCTCCCCATCTCTTATTATCATCTAAGAGTTGCTGCTTTGATAATTGTTTCTTAGATGTTGACACTTCTTTTGAGAATGATACTCGTCGGGTTTTTTGTCGTTTCATTTCTAATAAATACTTCATTACACGCTTACTGACATGATTTATGCAATCTTCTTTGATCACTATCAAATTATTAGACGAATCAACACTTTGATATTTTTGTTCTTCTTCAACATCATCATGTTCTTCTTCTTGTTCTTCTTCAACACCAGCATCATATTCTTCTTCTTGTTCTTCTTCAACATCATGATCTTCGATTTCTCCATGCTTCAAATCACTTTGCTCTTTTGTTGAAGTTGAAGTGTCTGATTTAAGATGGACTTGTTGTTGTTGACTTTGCTTAACATAATAATGCTTTATTGCTTCAAATGCGGATGCATCACCATCACAAAGCATATGTGTATATCGAAGAACATTCACTATAGATCGTTGAAATAACCTAACGGTGCCTTCTTTTTCCATCGATTTTGATGTACCGTCATAATTTTTAGGACAAAATAGTTGGTGCTTTTTGTACCAGTTGGTAAATTGAGATGGTGATAATTTTGATTTTTTAAAATTACATACTTCACATAACAATGACATGACCTCATAGTCGATGCAAAGTCCCGATTGAACATCAATTATATAAACTATACCATAATTCGATACATGGCCTCTTCGTTTCCATGTTCCATCGATGGAAACGGTGATATTCATTATATTTTGTCGATTATTATTTTTAGATTTTATATTATTAATAACTGTTTTAAAATGTTGTTGTGCAAAATTATGTAAGCCATCATAGTACTTATGTAACTGTCGTAAAAATGTCCTTTCACTTTGGATTGATAAAGATAACGTTGCCATTATTGCCTTAGTTGCACGGTATCCAACACCAGTCATTGCCACAGCTAATCATAATCTTTTGTTGGGTTCTTGTTGTTCAGCTTTCATGGATTGCATAACTTGAAAATTAGTCAAAGGAGTTTCATTAAAACATTTTGTACAACGTAAAACATTTTGATGGAATAAACCTATAGATGGTAATGCATTCGGTATTAATTGTAAACGACCACCATCACATACATGAGCTTTATCAAGAACATCCTGCAAGTGTTTCATGTCAAAAATTTGAGACGTTTTTGATTCATCAGGTATTTCAGAAGGTCTAAACATATGCATTAACATAGACGATATGTAGGATAATGAAATTAAATGTAAAAGATATCAAAATAAACATATTTTTTCCTTACTGTGTTAGAGATGAAAGCATTTCAGTTGATTGCATTGTTATTGATTGTGTTTCCATTGAGTTTGTTTCAATTGATATATCCATTGATTGCACATCGTTTAGTTTTTTATTAAAGCGGCGTTTTCTTTTCTTTTTGCCAAAATTTAGCTTTATTGTTGATTTTTTATACTTAGGTTTAAATTCTACAAAGTCCTTCTTGTTGTGTGCTTTAGAATAAATTGTTGAACCGTCATCTACAGACGACGATCCACTGAAAACATAGTTAGTATCGTGATCCATTATCAATAAATCTGCAAATTTAGATAGAAGAAAACTTTCCCAATTAGCTCTAGATTAATTTTTCATATGTATCAAGCTTAAAACAGTCGTTCTTCAATTTTTCTTATATTATTTTTAAAATAGCTAAATACTTCTGCATTTTGTTCAATTCTTTACAGCATAGATTTTATCTCATGCTAATTCCTCGATCTACTTCCGTAGACACCGTTTCAACATAAATTAATAAAAGTTAATACGACTCTCAAACATGAAAAATATACATAACCATCTATATAAAAGATACCTTTATTCCAAATAAAGATTTATCAAACAACTAAACAAACGGTGAAAATTATGATATTTCAAATGAGCCATTCCTTGAATCCGAAGCGACCTCTATTAATTAATAAGGCGATTTAAAACGAAGAGCTTAGTAAAAGTGTACCGGTGCAAAAATACAGAAACCTTGATGAAAGTAAATACAATCCAACTCTCAGCTTTTCCTCCTGGTCAGAATATATTTCATATCAAATTTTTCAGTTCATCGTTTTTTCAAGTCGGCTGACACTTCTCATCCGATTAAAAATCACAATTTATTGGTCATCCAGATAGTTGTTCATAATTTTTCTGGGAAACATTGAATGTTGATTAGATTGTATTTTAGTATGAGCAATTATTTACTTGCTGAGTCCGCTATATTGGAACACTTTCCTTTAGTGTTATATATGGTTTTGTTGCTTATTTAGTTCTCTATCAGATAGTATATAATATGTAACTATTTGCTTTACTCAAATCAGAAAATATGTGAAAAACAAGTGGTAGGTAAAAAGTCATGTTTTTTCTATTTTCATGTTCATGTTACGTGATATATATTTCTTTTCATAAGTTCATAAAGGAAAAATCTGTTCCGTTTAGTACATGCAGCATTCGATGGTACATCTTTTAGTCAAGACAGATTTTTTGTAGAATATATCATAGGCCTGAAATCGCGAGCAAGGTTTTCAAAAAAATACTTTTGGACATGGAAATCTGCATTTATAAAAGACAACATGATTTCTAGAAGACGACTAATCGGATCATTATGAAATTTTCAGGATAGTTATAACTTTTGATGCTCTATAAAATCACATTAAAATAAAGTCAGAATTTTCAATTTGAAAAATTTTCAATAATGCATATCTGTATGGTATCAATAAATGCTATATGTCTTGCGGCAGTCCTAGCTCTGTGAAAAAAAGTCGGACAACTGAAAAAATTTGAGGATATATGCAGTTTTAAATTCTCTACAAAATGGTGAACAAAAAATTGGGGGTGAGGGTGTGGTAAGCCCCCCTTAAGTAGTACCTCTTTGTAAATCAATAGATCTATACATAAATCAATCATCGTATTAAGTAGTTAGTAATTCTTTTTGAATAGTTCTGGAGTTTATTCAACATTGTGTCATTCTTATCCTGAACATAAAATGAAAAGATTCAATTATTTTCCTTATCTTTTTCTTTTTTATGCATAATTTAAAGTGGTTAGATTTTCAGATATTCAATCATCTAAAGTGTACTTTTATTTTGATTCATGCTTCGTGAAGCAAATATCGCTCGAAGTGATATCGAAAAGAAAGTCATTGTCATCCAATAGAATCGTTATTGAACGTTCAAAACAAAAAAAAAAACAATAACTATTAGCAACGATATATACCTTCTACTAAAAACAAATACCAACAATTTGACAGATTACCCTAGAGAAAGTACTGAGTCCAGGGTACCCATGTACTGAGAAAGCTCTAGCAGGGTACCCAGTATGGGTACTTTGAAAATTCTCAGTAATTTTACTGATGTATGTACTGTTTGGGGTACCCGTAAAAGTACATTCACTGAATAAGTACCTGCATGGATACACAAGTCTGTAACTTTACTGAGGAAAGCTCGACAGGGTATCCTAAATTTGTTGCGTTCTGTGTGGCGACTATTCATTCACCGTTTTCTTTTTTACGTACGGCTCTATATAAACAACTCGATAAATCATAAGAAAATAATCAATTTTCATACTAATTTTTTCTAAATTATTTCTTGACTATTTCTTAGTCGAGGAAATGCCGATCTTTATCGTAAATTAAGATCGGACTACCCTGAAGTGGTCTACGACCAACTCAAGTTGAGTCGGATTCCGACATTGTTCCTGCTAAGTTTTTGGAATTGAAAAAATTAAATTGAGTAAAGTAAAAAAAAATGTAGTAAATTATCTCAAGAAAAAGAAAAAATTTTAAAGAGTCAAAGATCAGGTTCGATCCTGAACATACTGAAAATTTGGTAACAGGGTACTTAGAAATACTATACAATGGTACCCAATTCAGTACTTGATCAGTACCTTCAGGTACCCAATTACTGTGCATTTTCCAGCAGGGTACTTTCAAAGTACCAGTTAGGTACCTGTAAGTACCTGCAAGTACTTTGTTACCCTAAAGTTCCTGTGACATACTGGTATCAGGGTACTTTTTTGGGTACCCTTAACTCAGTATATTCTCTAGGGTATTCATCTTTAATAGATTTCTTTTGGTTATCCTTTTCAAGATCAAGAACTAATTGTTCAAATTCATTTCGAACCGAAGGATCTAATAAATTTGAAAATGAGTGATTTAAGTTCAAACTTTTGATTAATTCAACAACATCACTAGTCTTTTAGACGAGCAGTAGGCAAACGTTTGTACGATGTTAATTTTAAATCGATTAGTTTCGGTAATGAAATAACCTTCATATCATCAATATTTTCTTGACAAACTTTCGGATTCGGAAACGAAATTGGTCCAATTGAACCATCACCTGGATACTAAATAAATAAACAAAGTTCAAAAAAAACAAGTTTATTGAATCATTCAAAACGCACTTCTCCTTCTATAACAACATCAACAGATATTTCGGTACTTGTAAAAATAAACTTTTTTCTTGCACCCTGGAATTTTGGTTTGAGACCAAGATTCGCAAGTTTTGTCATAAATTTTTCATAATCCTAATTAGAAAATAATAACGTTCAGTAAGATACTTATTAATTGATAAAAACATACTTACAGCTCTAGATAACAAAATATCACAATCATGAGTTGTTCGTTTATAACCATGTGCATACACGGCTAACCCGCCAATAATTGCATAATTGACTTTTTGATCTCCGAGGCCATTAGTAAGTGATTTAATTGTTAACCATACTGGTCCATCTTTGTTCAAGAACATCGATAGATCTCGAAACGGAGATCTCGATTTCAAATTTTGTGTTAAGGTTTTAGGTAAAATTGATGCCATTTTCTTCTCTGTACACTTTCTGTACAAAAAATATCGATATGCTTTCTTGCTGTTTCTAATATCAAATAGCACATGCAGATAATCTATGGATTAGCTAATCAGAATAGAGTATACAAATTAATACAGCTGCTAAAGATATATACAACACAATGCATAGAATTATAATTCATTTCAAAAACAAGAAAAATTATTAGGATAGAAAGTCGCAGGTAACAAATCTTCGATTCAGTAGTTAAATAGGTAGCGCTCCTTGACAAAGACATGTGACACGAGGGTGAATATTTATCAAGAAAGAATGTTTTCTTTAAAAAAGGATGAGCGCATAAGCAGATTTATTTGTTTTCTTCTCTTAAATTTCTCCAGCAAACGAAATATGATTTTCGAAGTCTTATTTGAAGAATCCAATATCTGACAAAACTGTCTTTCTATACTATAATTTGTGCCAAATTATAAGACATAGTGTACCCATGGAGTAAAATATTGAAGGAAACGGACTGCGTAACGCGTTTCCGAGGTTGTAGCATGCGTTTCGCAACGTTTTTGCAATATAGGACGCGTTTCGCAGCATTCTTACTTACATAAAATGCGTTTTGCCACAGTCGTTTTTTGAAACGATCCGAAACGCTTTTTTCAAGATTGCGTTTCGAGGCGTTTCCGAATTAAAATGCTGTCGAACGCACTTTTGTCGACAGGCGACTCGTTCCACAGATACAAATTGGGGGAAACGTAAAACGCGTTTCTTTTTCAAATGTGTGTTGCATTGTTTTTGCTTGGAATGATGCAAAATATATCCATTCTGCATACAGAATCTTGCAAAAATTCACCAACACAAAGTATAGGAGTTAAGCAAAGTAAATTCTTTAAAATTACTTTGGAAATGATATGAAATAGTACTTGAAAGTTTTGCTCCTTGCACTATTTTTGTACGTGAAAATCATGACCCAGGATTTTATGAAGGCAAGACTAAAATCAAAGTCTTGGAAATTTTTAGGCTGCTAGGCTGTTATCTAGACCTAATTTGAAGTTAGACTAATGTAAATCATCAAAGTGTAACAAAAAATATATTCTTCTTACTTAAAAACTCATTTCACCACGTTTCTATTGAAAGAAAACGTATTTCGTAAGGTTTACTTAAGAATTGATTTCGACTTGTCCACGGAGGGAGATGATTCCGTCACGCTCGTTTGTAATGAATGAGAAGTTACAGACAAATTTGCAGTGTCTCATTTTGACAAGCACAATTTTTTGTCCAAGATTGCAAATGCATTGGATTCTAGAGATCGAGTCATTTGTATGAAATAAAACAAATAAAGCGTGACGGAATCACGTTTTACGTGGACAGGTCGTTTTAAGTATTGAGCATTTCGAAGAGATTTAGTAAAGACTGATACTAATATAATTAGTATAGTAAGTCTCTTTGGTTATTTGTGAACAAAAGAATTATCGCGTTATCTATAATTTGAATAAATATTAGTTTGAGTTCATACTCGAACTAATTGATAATAACTAATGATACTGTGTACAATACTAGTAAACATGATTTTAGTTTGTACATTGTTGAAGTAAGAGTGACTTTTTAATAAAAGAGATTCGATTTACAAAAGAAAACTCCTTTCATTTATTGATGTATTGGATAAAACGATGACGGATTTACATTTACAAAAATATATTAATCAAGAAAATAAATAAAAGATTAAATTTTAAATTTTTTAAAATTTATATATAAGAAATTTAATTTTTTATATATTAAATACAGTGTAAATCGATTAAATTCGTTTCTATTGTGTATCTAAATTTAAATCTGAAAGAGTTTAAATAAAAAATGTATCAAGAAAAAACCACACTCGTAATTGGACATAGGCACCAAAGAAATGATAATTTTTAATTCAGTGGAATGGAAACTGAAAATCTAATTTAGTAAGTTTACGCGGGACTCTAAATGACAGTAGAATAAACACTTATATCATTAGATTATTTTAGTTGAACGGTTTGTATACATGTCTTATACTCCTATGTTCTCGTGTTCGAATCCGTGTCTTGACTGCATCAAAATTCATGTAAGTTATAGTTCTAAAGGCCTATGAAAAAACGTAAACGAATACATAAATTGTACCTGCAATTCAAGATCTATGAAGTCATTGACGATTTTCAATTTTTTTTCCATCTAGAATTTACGACACCACAGTTTGAGAAACGCTGCGAAATTTTTCACAAAAACAATCGTTACACAGCGTTTGTTTTAGCAGATGTGAAACGCGTCAAACCGGTCAGCATTAACGCGTTTCGCAGCTATGGAAAAATGCGTTTTCAGAACGCGTTTTTTTCGCAGAAATTTACACCATGGGTATACCCTAAGAAGTAGCCATATTAGAACAGAAAAATGGGGGTTCAACAAATTGAGATAGGTCAATACTGCGAGCTTGGTCTCTTGCCTAGTGGATCACCAACTGAAGCTGAATTGTGAAAATTTAATCTGATCTGATCCATCCATACAATATTCGATCTGAATAACAGATCAGTTAAACCAAAATTGTTGACTTTGTATGATATAATATTGATTTCTCTACTAGTAAAAGATATGAAGACGTTTCAAGTTGGGTGTGGGTGTGGGTCTGCGTGTGAGTCATCTCTTAATGGACACTAACACC